AATATTGCCAAGGGCACTGCCCACAGAGCAGGGCTGGCTCAGAGGGACATGCTGCAGGTTTGGCCATGGAGGGAAGGGCTGAGGTTTGTGTTAATGCAGGTGGGTGGGCAGTGTGAATGTGGCCTCAGAAAATACCTCTAATGTGAAAATACTTGAAACCTCCATGTTTTAAATGTTAGTTTCTTCTCTCCTGAAAATTTTGCCTCTTTGTGAATTAACTAAATCATAAGTGGGAGATTGGGAGTTCATCCCCACCACTCAACATTATAGATTAGTCCAGCAAGGAGAATACAGAAGGAGCTGGTCTGCCTCTGCTCTGGCCCTTGATGCCATCTCATAGTGTAGGTGAATCAGATGAATCTCTGTGTAGAGAATCAGCAAAAAATCAAGGTAAGAAACACTTATTTGGTGTCTTTGCAAGTCTTAGAGACAAGGAAAAAGTTATGGTACATTAAATCAGAGATATGTCCTGCTACTTTAACAAGAATTTTGGTTACAGAGTGCCAAATTCTGGCACAGTCACTTGTGTCATGGAGCGTGTTAACCCACACGTGAGCTCCAGGACTGCAGTGGGATTATTCATTGGTAAGGTATTTTAGGAAGTAAAGATATTAGATCTGCCCACTGAGTGAGGAGTCTTAGAGAAATCCTGAGGCAGCTTGAGGGATAAAGTACTGCTCAATTAGCTCTGAGCATCTCTACATGCTGCAGCACTCTCCTGGAGGAGAGGCACGACAGGATCATTCAGTGGCACCTTCCTAACTTGCTAAGGCCCCCCTCAGCAAGTTCTCCCCTGCAGATGCTGATCAATGTTCAGCTTTCAATCCATGCAACCCTTCCAACATCAGCTTTTTCCTGTTCAGGGCTATAACCAGCAGCTGACTGTGCTGATACCTATTGATCATTTAATCCATGATTTCATGTAAGAGTCACCCTGGACTTCCTGGTTCCACTTGAAAAGTGCACTTGGCTCCTCCAGCTTTGAGGAATGTGAATTGAACTGGAATCTCTTGGTCAGGGACAGAGGAAATTGCTCTGTAGGATCCTAAACCTCTGAAATAAAGCAAAGAGCTCCTGCTTCATTTAGGGCTAACAAGAGAGATTTTTAATCAGTGACTTTAGCCAGGACAGTTGTTCTAATGAGGAAAACCCATCATGTCTGTTTAACAGCATCTCACCAACCTGTTCTATTTATTACTTGTCTTCATGTGACTTTCCTCCTCAAATCCATCTTTGATCCAACTGGGAAATTGGTCTTTTATCTGTTCTGCGAGAATTTCTCTGAATTAATCCTTTCCCTCTTGAACCTCTCTCCAGTTTACCTTTAATGTCCACTTTCTGTTGAAATCTTCCTAACTGAACTCAAGCTCAGTGTCAGGGTTTCTTGTTCTTTCATAACTGGATTTGTCATTCTCAGCTCCAGAGCTCAGGACAGACCCACTGCTGGCAAACTCTCCCCTGCCCCTGATCCCTCTGCTCAGTCTTTGCCTTCTTATTATTCTGTCATGACAATTATGCCACTAAAAAGCTTTTGTTCCTTTTGTCGCCTCTACTAAATATCTTGTGCAGCTGTCAATCTGCCCAGAAATCTCTCTTCCAATAATTTCCTTGGCAGTTTCTGATTCATCCTTCTCTCTGTTCCTCTTTGCCTTCACTTAGGGTGAAATCATTTCATTAGACATTTCCAAACAATCAAAACAGCCTCAGTTATCCAGTGAAATGGAAAATCAGAACAGAGCCGTCCCACTTTGCTGCAGTCCCAGCTCTCTCCTGCCAGTGAGCATATTAATGAGATTTCAGTTCAATCAAGAGCCAAACAGAAATGAGTTCCATGCCCTGGATGCAGATTCAGAGAGCACTACCTGGAGATGGAACTCTGGTTCCTCATCAACTCCCTCAGGATTCACCACCTTCCCTGAGGCAAGGGGAGGGAGAGCAGGACTGCAGTTCTGACCAGCCAGCTGAACTAAACAAAGGGCTTTGCTCCCACCCACTCTGCATTTTGAACCTGCACAGTGGCTGGCCCCAGTCCAGCTCGATGCTCTGTGTACACTGCAAATGAAACTCAGGGGCTTAAAGGGTGCTGAGCAGTACAGAATAAAAACTAGACAAGGACATCTTGTGTCTAGGACAAACAGCTGTCTGCCTGTCAAGTGCTGTGGAAAGACATGGTTGCACGTAAATTTGACATGCAAGAATTATAGCAATATTATGTTTGTCATGGTTCTTTTTAATAACAAAGGTGTTTGATGTGTCAGAACCACAATCATGGTAGAAATTGCATCCTGCAGGCCCACTGTTTTCAAATAAGCCTGCCATACCCAGACACATCCCAAACTGTCACCAAGCCATGTCAGAGATGGGCAGTACCATGAGGCAGTGACAGCTTGCAGTCATTCAAAGTGCTGCAACTGCAGATTGTTGAAACATTAATGAACAGTTTTGCCAAAGTGTGAAGTTACTTTCAAACAGCTTTTTACACCTCTGTAAGACAGGATGGTAATACAGGTCCTGGTAGAAGTGTGTGGTCTGTCTGGAATCCTACTCCATATTCCCAAACAAGGTACTGATCATTTCTGGAGGTAAAGTTCATAAGTAAGGTTTATAAACTGTGATATTGTTTGGATCATTACAAACACAGAGAGACAACATGAGCTTTACATGCTGAGCTTTGATATTATTCCTGTTCTGACAGTTCTGGCCTGATGCTGCACCATGTACCCAAAGAGATTAAGAGTCCCTTCAGTCCTGCATTTGGGAGCAGCTCAAGTCCATGGAATTTCCATGTAGCAGCAGAACAAGATCTTGCCCCTTCTATTATTCCTGCCTGCAATTTGTTTATGTCTTCTGGCAGACATTGAATTCCTTTATCTTGTCCCAGCTGTAATCTTTCTGTGACTCCAGGAGAAAGATCTCCTTTGAAAAGATACTGAATTTATTTTCAGAAAGGCTAAGGCATTTAAAATGTTCAGTTCCTTCACCTCCACAGGTATCTAGACGCAGTCATTAAAAAGATATATTATGTCAATTAAATAGTAATATTTTGAATTTTGTTTTTAGGGAAGAAATCTCCTAAGAAAATTCTGTGGAGCTGCATTACTCTTGATAGATGAGCACAGAATATTCTGCTCATTAATGTCACATTATACCTCACAGTATGGCAGAAATTTTGGCAAAGACATCTATGTTGTTTCCTGTGCTGGAAAGATTTCTTATGGGTTTAATTTTATTTCTTAGCAGAAACATTAGTCTGCTTCTTCATTTCCTTTGTATGCACAGTGCAGCAGAGAGCAATTTAAATTAATGAAATCTGAAAGTGAGTCTTTTGCATAAATTTCTACTTCTGTAAATGCAACCTTCAAGAAGAAAACTGCACCCATGGAAAAAAAAAATCCTTGGGAAAAAAGTATTGCATTAAATAAAAAGGAAAGTGTATTCTGAGCCCTAAAATAAGGATGTCTATGAATACTCTTACAGTTACCATAGCCCAAGGGTGAATAATTGTTCATTATCAAATGAACAGCAAATGTTCATGGACTTAAAGACATTAACAATATCACATCCATTTTTTAATTGCCCTTTGCTCACTTTGTGACATATTAATTCTGTGCAAATGCAGCTCTTATTTTCCCAGTGTACACAGAAAAAAAAAGATATGAAAAACTGCAGCAGTCCCTCCAGTCAGGATTCCATCTTCATGATTCAACACAAAGGTTAGTGTTTCCATGTTCTTGCTTTTTTCTGCCTGAATACTGAGATGCCAGGGATAATGAGGAACCCAGGCTTGGGCGTGGACCAGTGCAATGTCCCTTCTCACTGTGGTAGGGAAAAGTGACACTTGGCTGTAATGGAGAACTTGGATTGTGCAAAAGGGAGGTATCAATAAAATAAAAAGTAAAACAAAGGAAAAAATACATTTTTCATAGTGCACGTTCCTTTAGGAAAAGCATCAAAGCATTTTTCACTCAAATCTAGCATCCTGACACTGATTAACCTGGTGGGGGATGCAGGTGCAGTGTGCAACGTGGTGTTCCTCCCATAAACACGGGAAAGGGAAAGCCAGCAGCAGAGCTGGTGTGGGATCTCCTCCAGGCTGTCCAGACAGGCTGAGCGCCCTCGTGTCAGGGAGATTCTTCAAACCTGGGGGAAGTTTGTGCAGGAGAGTACGAGACAGACCCAGCACAGACAGCTCCTGGCAGTGCTGCAGTGCAGGAAAATGGAGCCACCCTCTCCTGCCCAGGAGCGCAGCGGTGAAATCACCAGAGGGATTTATTTGCTGGAAAAGGCCAGCACAGGCATCTCTGAAGGAGCAGCTGATCCGTGTAACCATGGACAGCTTTGCAAAGGCTCCTCGGAGACCAACTCCGTGCCCAGGGTCTGGGCAGCACCGGGAGCTCAGCCCCACGCAGGGGAGGGAGCCGGGGGGCTCCTGGCAGCCCCCGCTCGCTGCCTCCTGCTGCCAGCCCGGACACCCTCCAGGGGAACGGGCTCGGCACACCCTCCAGGGGAACGGGCTCCAGGACACCCTCCAGGGGAACGGGCTCCAGGATACCCTCCCTGGGCACGGGCTCCGTTACCGGGCTCAGCTCGGAGCAGCCCGGTTACCGAACTCACCGCGAGCTGAGCTGGGGACAGGGGAGAGGTGGGCATTGCTCAGGTAAGGCCTGTGGGGCTCAGCTGCCACAGGGATCACTTCTCTGTTAGCTCAGATACTTTTATCTCTGGGTTTATTACAGAATATGCTGAGCTGGAAGAAGAATAATCAAGTTAAACTCTGAAGTGAATGGCCTTGGTATAATTAGCACGGTGCTCTAACCAACTACAGCGCATAGAAAACACACCCACCGTTTTCCTGAAGCTTTTTCTGAATCTGTTACTCCAAACCGCGAGCTGTAACCCTTTCCAGACCGAGCCCATTTGTATTGCTATGCAGGTCCTTCCTGGTTGCTAGGCTGCCAAAAAGATACAATAACACTTGGTTTTGTTTTTTCCTGCAGGCCATGTCGGTTCTTCCAGATCTTCACCTGTGCCATGTGCAGGCCTGTCAAGATTTGAGCCAGCCTGAAAACCCCTTCATTGCTCGTGTGCTTCAAGAAGCTGATAAAAATGAAGAAATGTAAGAAAATAACAAACGGGGTGTTTCAGATGCTTCTGAAAGCCTTAAACGGGGTAGCAGGATGAGGAATTGAAAAATGGCAAAGTTCATGCAGTTTCAGGCTTAAACACAAATCAAATTTAACATTTACTGCTGAAGTTCTGGTTTGACTCATCTTGACATCATCTTGGCAGAAGTTTGTAGCTATATATCCTTTCTGGGCAGCTTTACAAGCAGTGAAATCAAAAAAAGTGAAAAATATACAGGACGGTGCCTTTCTGTCCCCTAAAGAAGCCAAACTCAGAGTTTAGTCATCCTAACCCCCTTTTTTGTGTCTCACTCCTGTTTAAAAAGCCTCAGCTGCATTCAGTTACCTTCCAGCTGGTCATGCTTCCCTGAGTTGTCTCTGAATCCTGCCAAGTTATTAACCACCTAAATTCTGTCTCATTAAGGGTCTGGGTACTGCTTCTTCTCATGGACGGTGCTGGGATCAAAGTTAATTGCCCTTTAGGGGGAAAAAACTGAGAAAATGAAATGGCTTGTGTCAGGTTTTGATCCTGAGGGCAGAATAAAGTAAATAAAGAAAAGAGGACAAGTAAAAAGAAGATGATGAGGTAACCTCTGACATAATCTTTATTTCCATCTGCCTTCCCCTCATCTTGATTATTCCTGTTTCAGTGCTGAGCAATGCCTTCAGAAAGGGCAGTGCTGAGGTACTGCCTGGATCACGTGTGGTGGTATTACCAAAGCAGAGACAGGGAGGGCAGACATGGGCACACCTCTGATCTGAGAAAATTCATTTGTCTAGGGACAAATTTACTTCATTTTACTTCTCCCCATGTGCTTACATTTTTATGTTACTGCAGAAGTACAAAAGGAATTACATTAAAATTAGCTGGAAATAATCATCTGGTGCCTGTGCCGAGAGTTACAGATGATGATCTTGGAGTTCTTGTCTCTGTCTTAGGCCAAGCTGCCTTTGTCACAGGTAAGGTTTATTCCCTGTGTGTTTGACATGGCTGTGCTGATACAAGAAAACATGAGCAGTCTTGATTTCAGCCTTAGTTCATCTTTGTTACTTTTTGTTCAGAGATCAGTTCAATGTAGATATGCATCTGTCACGTTCCTTATTCTTCATCTTTTTCAGGTTTGGATCTTGCCTATAATTTATTGACTGATGCTGGAGCAAAGACCATGGCAACATTCCTCCAGGTGCCAAGAGATGCTTGTTTCAGCAACTTGTAATTTATTCCTCTATAGTAATATTTATAGTGGGGACAAGAATGAGCTGGTTTGGCAAAATTCCAATATCTTTGACTATCACTTCCCAATCCATTCTACTAGAACATCAGATCGTATTGTCTGTGGAGATTTTTAATTTCTGGTAGAAGGCCTTTGGATATTTGGCTGTGGTTCCTGAGAAAAGAATGATGGAATAAACTATGGGGCTTTTAGGCTCACAGTTAAGTTTAAAAAAGGGGGTAATGGTTGTGGCCTTTGTTTCAGCTATTTTATAATCTCTGTTAGTCTTTTTATAGGCCTAAACATAGGGAATTTTAATGCAGCCTTTTTGTCATTGTAAGCACTGGGATACAGGTGGTAAATAGTGAGTTGTCACCCTGTGCCTGTGTTCCTAGAATTTGAGGGGCACTGTTAGGTTCACAAAATGCCTGAATTTGTGCATCTGAGCTAGCCCACCTGCCTCATGCACAGGGCTCCTGGGTGGTTCCTCAGGCCCCATGAGGGTCCTCCCCATGACAGGTTTTATGCCTTGCCCTCATCACCTGACATAATTTGGCATTCTTTAACTACTTCTCCAACTCATGAACTGCCTGAAATGCTGCAAAGGGCAGAGTTGTGTATGTATATCTCCTTTTTGGAAAATACAGCTGTGTTTTGGGAAAAAAACCCATCAAATTCTCATTGCTTCCTGCTTTGTTTGCTCCCAAGGAAAACTCCTCTCTGCAGTATCTGAACTTGATGTTCAATGACATTGGCACAAGTGGGGCAGAGCTGATAGCAGGAGCACTCCATGTGAGTATTTGCCTGGGAGATTTAGGCAATGGCATCTCCTTTGATCTTTCTGCTTTTGATGACCAGTACTGGCTGTGCTGCCAACGTCAGAGCTGGCTGAAAGGAGCCTCTGTCTTTGCTCCATTCAGCATGTTGCTGTGTCACAGGGATTGCCTGGTTTCCCAAGGCACACTTCAGAAACCAGATTTCACACAAGAGAAAGTTGCACTGTGCTGCCATTAACACTTCATTATCTATAAAAATGCATAATTGTCTATGTCTAAAAAGCACAACTATTGCAGTTGGGTTTTTCTGTGTGAAAAATGCTATGCTACAGGATATACAATGCCATAATTTTTTCCTTTTTTTCCTTGAAAAAATTAAATTAAATTTGCCTGTACTTTGACATCAATATTTGATTCAAGATGTCTGAGACATGTTTTCAAAACTTTGCCTTACAGCAGCACCACAAACCCAAGTTTGTTATTTTTAATGTGGTTTCCCAAGGAAATGAGGCTTGTATGTAAGATTTGTTGTGTTTGTGAAAGGAGACTCACATGAGCTCTTTCTTCCTCCTTAACAGTCTTTGAACCCTGAACTGATTTCAACTAAATTTGACAGGCTTCCAAAACACTAAGTCTGTGCAGTAGATGTACAATGCTGGGCTCATACAAGGCTTACCAGATTTAAATTAGCATTAAAGCAATTTGCATCTCAGATGCCAATTTAGGCAGAAATATTTGCCTGGTTTATTTTCATGAGTGTGATGAAATTCATGAACTCGGGAGAAACAAAAGTTTTCAAATAGAGGCGTTTTGCTTTCAGACTCTCATATTTGGTGCCACTGAGGGGAGCCTGAGCCAAGAGCTGAGCCAGTGTTATCACTTGGACACAATTCTTCTGGAAGGTTGTTTTGTCTCTGTGTGATAACCAGCAGAATTCACATGAAAAAAACAGGACAATGTTGTTTTCCAGGCCATCTTAAAGGAATATATACATTTTTTAAATTTTGTTTAGAGCAATCAAAGTCTTGTGCACCTGAGAATGACTGGAAACAAAATAAGAAACCAAGGAGGGATGTTCTTTGCCTCAATGTTAAAAATTAACTCAACCTTAGAGAAGTTGGATCTTGGAGACTGTGATGTGGTGAGTAACCCAGTAAAATTATCAGCAATAAGACATAAGTCTTTCAAGGGTATTACAAGGGTCCTGCAGTGCTTAATTAGGGGGAACTGCCATCTGTTGTCATTGATTTTGTGACAGCCAGAGGTAACAGAATATATAATACTGCAATGTGTGCTTGGAAAGGCACACTGCATAAAGCACCTGTGAAGTCAGAACTGGGGATATTTTAGAGTCACTGTGTCTCCCTAGGAATTCAAGTGCTTGGCTTGCACATTTTCTGAGGTTTTTTTTCTGCTGTTCATTTCTGTTGAGCTAAGTCCTCTATAATTCATTTTGAAGAATGGACTTCTCATTCCCTGGAGAATCTTTCCCTTCTGAAGTGAGCAGTGCTGCAACCCCTGAAAGTCACTCATCCCATAGCTCTGCTGCTTCTCTCAGAGCTTGACCCATAAAGGACATAAGCACAGCAGTGCTGAATTGAGTAGAAAAGCACCCAATTTACTCTTGGACAATGTGGTTCCTCCTGGAGCTGGGCACTGACTTCCTGCACTGGGCACAGCAAGACTCTGGAGGTTGTGGATTGCTTTTAAAAGCCTATATTTGTCTCCTGGAAATTCAGAATTTGCTTCTGAACCAGAAGGGGGAATAGCCCTCAGAAAGTGTGAAGGTGTCATGAATACATGAATGAAGGAAGTGTAGGCAGTGTAGGATTTATTCAAAAGCTTGGTATGTGTGTGCTTGGTAGGGAGTTGATAAAGTTGGTTTAAAATGAGAGGGCTTTGGGTACAGCCCAGCCTACTTGAAAAGTAGCATAAATATAAAATAGAGGCCAAATTAGAAGGATATTTAAAAAAAAAATCTAAATTTTCCTGATTCATACTAAATATGAATCTACCTGGTGGATAAATATTAGGGGAACACACATAAGCTGATTTTGCCTCATAAGTCAGGGAAATCAAAATATAGGATCAATTGAATAGACAAGTATTTTTGAGATCCATTATTCTTGCATTTTATTTTCTGAGTTACCAAGTCATTTGTACTACTTAGTCTAATTTCACTCTGCTATTCCATAGGCAGTTGGCATTGTTATTATCAGAAAATCTGTTGTGTCTGTAAGCAGTTGCCTATTGTAGTCCTATCTCTCTACCTCCAGAGTAGATGAAGGCAGAAATAATAGCAATGGCAATTTGGTGTCTTGATCTATACACTTAACAGATTTCTCTAAAGAGTTTATTTTCATTTCCAGGGCCTGCAGTGTCTGGTAGCAACAGCCATAGCTCTGACTCAGAACAAATCACTCAAAGCCATAAACCTAAATCGTCCTTTGCTATCCAGCCAACAGGTATGTGAGTGACTGTGGAGTCAGCTCAGAGAGAGGGGCAAAGGGCAAGTCAGTACTGATGTATTTATGGACATCTGGACTACACAGCTCTCTGGAATTCATTACAAATGGGTGAAAATGGTTGCAGGAATATTTTTCTGAAACAAGTTTTGTGCAGTCACTGACTGCACCTGTTTGACTAGAAGGTTAAATTTTTAACAATTTCTTTGTTGGTACATTTATTTAAAAATGGGCTTATGGAGAGGGGGTGGTGTTGGAGAAGCAAGTATTCCTTCTGCTGTTAGAAAATGGAATTTCCTGCACTGTTCAGCAAACTGAGGGAGCCATGCTGTGTAGCAGGAAACGAGGGGGAGCACAAAGGATGCTGCTTACCTGAGCCTAAAGAAGAAAACCACTGCAGCAATTCCCATGTTCTCTGGGCTGAGTGGCTTTGCTGTCTCACTGTGTGCATGGCTGGTGCTGCTGCAGAGCTAGGTGCAGGTGGAGTCACCTGCCTGGCAGCAGTTCTCAGGTGTCTGGGACAGGATCAGTGTTTTCCTGATGGCAGGATAATGAAATTAAACTGTTGTGAAAGCCAGATCCTCCTCAATTCCCAAAGGTAAATTTCACCATTTGAACAGATTTTAGTTGTTTCTTTTCTAAGGCTGGGCTTGATCTGCCTAACCCCAGCTCTGGAAGTCAATTTAAACTGCAGCTATTGGTAACAGTAAGGACCTGGTCTGGACTGTCAGAGAATCTATTTGTCATTGTTTCTACCTTCTGCTCTATAATTTTCCGAGGCTTCTGGATTTTCCTTTACTTTTGACTCACAGTATTCAGTCAGTTAATTTCTTAACTAAACAGGACAACTTTGAACAAACTTCCTTTGCCTTAGAGTGGCAGGACATCTTTTTTACCACAGAAGTCCTGTTTCTTTTGCATACAATTAACAGAATCTTTAAGGTTGGAAAAGATCTCCAAGATCAAGTAAAAGCTTTGACCAATTCATTCTTGTATGAAATAATTTGCATCATTACAAAATACTTTCTAATGTTAGCAAAGACTGACTCAAATATTCAGTTTTTGAAGAGCAATAGCAGAGAGGGAAACTGATTAGACATAATTAAATGTTGATGCTTCACTTATATTTGCAGGGATATAGACAGTATTGTAAAATTGCAAATATCCCTCTAGTAATTTTCTTTTTTTTTTTCATTTTTAGCTTAATCATAGCATGTTGTTTTGTGATTATTTTTATACAATATACAGAATAGAACACTACTGAAGACCACATCTTGCAGTTAGTTGCATAACTCCCTTTTACTGAGGCACAACTGTATCTTATCCTAAAGTCCAGCTTAATAAAATTTAGTGTATCTTTCTAGGAAGAGACTACAGTTCATATAGCTCGGATGTTGAGGAGTAATTCTTCTCTTGTGGAACTACATTTGGGCAAGCATGAAATGAAAAACTTTGGTGTAGAGCGACTGTGTGATGCCCTGTATGAAAACTCCAGCCTGAGATACCTTGACCTTAGCTGGTGAGAGTGATTAAATGTGGCACATTAGAAACTCATTTTCTTAGCAACTTTCTTAGCAACTTAAAAATTAAAAAAAAGCATCTCTCTTTCAGTAATAACATAATCTGTGATGGTGTGAAATTTTTGGGAGAGCTACTAAAAATGAACCAGACCCTGGAGATCCTGGATCTTGGTGCAAACCGAATAGAAGATGTTGGAGCCATTTACCTGAGTGAGGCCTTGGCAATGCGGAACAGGACTCTGAAGGCGTAAGTATTTGCACAGCTCCCCCAGAGACTGCAGGCAAGCAACCTGCACTTTGCACTGGCTGAAATGCGTCTCAGCTCTGTGTCTTCATGTTGATCAAAATAGGAAAGTCAGGAAGTTCCAAATGTTTTAGACAATTTTTCCTTCTTGGGGAAAAAAAGCCCGTGAGAGATTGGGTGGGATTTCTTTATTAAGTATTGGTCTCTGCTGCCGTGTGAGGTGCTCCAAGACCTGTGAGACACCCGGGGTGCTGGAGGTGAGCCCCAGGTGTGCTCAGAGCTCTCACAGCTTTCACAGTCGCTCTGGGAGAGCGAGAGGTGAGGCACTTGATCTGTTCCTTCTTTCTGCGTCTTTGAAGCGCAGGTCCCTGTGGTGCGCAAACGAAAACAAGAGCTGTAGGCCTTCAGAATTTTGAGATAATCAGATTCCACGCTGGGATAAGGCACTATATTTGTTGGTTCTGATCTTCCAACACTTAAGAAAATCCTCTGTTGAAGTTCGCTTCCGGGTGAACCCAGAAGAGCTGTAATCTTTCCATCAGGGTGTCTTTTGCAGCCGCGCTAAACCCCCGCCGGCAGGACATGAAAGCTGATCAAAGGTGTTACCTGAAGCCATTAGTTTTAAGTAGCAGACTGAGGAGGTGGTGGCTGCGAGGTGCCTCTGAGAGCCTTGCAGGTTCACTAATATAAAAATAACTGCCACTCCACATAGATCAAAGCTTAGCCTGGATAAATGCCAAGGCTTGGGCTTCAAAGCAGACCAGAGATGAGACCTGGCCACCAAGCAGCAAAGTCACTGACACTGAAGAACTCAGTAGTGAACAACCTGGTTGCAAGAGTCAGGAAAGTGCTTTGAGAAATAGAGCAAGTCCAGAGGCCAACTGCCTTTGGCAACCTGAAAAGGATATTAGAGTAGGACTGGCTTTGATACAAATAAATTATTATATTATAAATTAAAAAGTTCTGTATATGTATGAAACATAACAATAAGACTAAATCATAGTTAAATTATTATTTTTAACTAAGAGATGGGAATTCTATGGTTTGGCACACATTTTCTCTGTTTTCTAGGTTGTCTGTTGTAAGCAACAATATAACTGACAAAGGACTTGTAGCTCTTGCACAGGCAATGCATTCCAACATGACACTTTCCCATATTTACATCTGGGGGAACAAACTTGATAGAAGCACCTGTGTGGTAAGTGTGTGGCTCTGAACTCATCTGAGAAGGCTGGGCTTTGATTGTTCCCATTTGTCTTTCTGTTGTTGGGAGGACTACAGCAAGTAGTGAACAAGACACTTGATTTATTTGGGCTTTTTATGGTTATAATATGGTGGTGCTGGGATGAGACTCCCTGGAGATCAGCACTCTGAAGGGATGAAGTGCCCTGTGTTGCCTGCAGACCTTCACCGCAGCCCAGGTGTTCAACCCTGTTTTCCTCCATCGCAGGCGTTCTCGGAGCTGATCGCGGTGGGCCGGCTGCAGCTGGAGTGCACAGACGTGGCTCCCTACGAGGTGGACGGGCAGGTTCTCCTGGCAGAGCTGTCCCACGGGCTGGCCAGGCACCGCTACTGGAGCCCGCGCTCCGCCGCCGTGGCGCCCGGCGCCGCCAACGCCAGCCTGGAAATCCTCGCGGGCTCGGAGCATTTGTGAGCAAGGCTGCACCCCGGGGCCCTCCCCGAGCCTCAGCTTTCCCTACCTGGTTGTTAGTAAAATAGGTTATGTCAGTATCACACTCGCTGCGTGCTGTTTCTTTGGGGTTTGAGTCTAGGAGGAATCCAACAGAAATGGCAACAGAGAGAAAGTATCAAACAAATGACCTCAAACTTTGTTGCTAAATCATGCTCCATCTATTAAACTCTGTAACTATGAAAAGGTTTGTAGCCAGGCAGAGCACACTGACAAAAGCAACACCCAGGACTGCTGCTGGGCAGTGGATCAGGTGTCCTGCAGAGTCAGATTCCTGCTGGAGCAGAGAGCTTTGGGTAAATCCATTTGTTGGCACTGTTCTCCATGAACTCTTTCCTATTCCTTAGCAATTGCATCCTTTTGATCTTCCAGTAGTGACTTTTTTTAAACCAAGGTAAGTGAACTTTAGCATTAACCCACAACCATGCTAGAATTTAAAGCTGGTGAACCCAGTTTGCTGGGCTATACATGGAATTTTGCTTAAATTGTAGCATGTACTTGTTTCTCGTACTACAAATAGAAACCACCAAATCTGATGCCATCATTTCTTCTCATCTCATGAAAACTGCCTAAAAACATTTGTATCATTGTAGCCCTGTGGCAATTCCTACACATGAGTAAGACAACATATGCATGTAACGGTAAACGTTGTGTAATGGTTTGGACAGACTTTGCATAAGCGCTCATTCCTGCAGAAGTGACTTAGTTTATGTTCCTAAACAGAAAAAGTCAACCAGCAGGACAGCAGAAGTTTGCTCCAAGCCTTTCATAATGCAGTCCTCTGCCCCTCTAAATGTACCTGTTAAATATTAGCATAAAGTACCAGAATGATCTGTGACTGTACGTACACTATCAAAGCATAAGGGAGAAAAATCTAAGAAAGTAATTTCAGTACAAACAGCTGGGAAGCAGCAGTGTAACTGCTGCTGCTCTGACTCTGCATTATCTCTGTGGTACTGTAGGAACAGGAAGGCATTTGGACACCTCTTCCCCAGCTGAAATGACCAGGGCAGTTGTGAGAGCTGGTGTAGGTGGAGGTTTGTTGTTGTTTGGTTGGTTTGTTGTTTTTGTTTTCATTGCCCCCACTCCCAAACACAAATTACTCAGGCTTTTGCCCCAGGAGCTCCTGGTATCCTCAGGGATAAGCCCAGAGCAGGAATGTTTGTTCTGCACACCTGCACAGGGCCCTCCCAGCCTGCAGTCACTGTGCTGAGCACAAAGTCCATACATCACCCTGTGAACACCCAGCTCCAGAGAGGAGCTTGAATTTTAACTCTTGTTCAGCAGCAAGGATGCAGCAACAAGAACTAAAGTTGGGGATACACCAAACTTGATGGTTTGAGAAGAATCTGCTATGAGCAGATTTTTCCTAAATTCCTAAAATAATTCCAAATTCCTAAATTTTGAAATAATTAGATAAGCCTGTGTTGGTACTTTTCTGAGAGCTGCTGCTCTGGATCATTGCAAGTGCCACTCTGATAGTGTCAGTACTGACACACTGATGACAGAATTTCTTGCTATAAATACCACTACAAGACTCAGGCAGGTTTTTTTTTTCCATTATCTTTCTTTTCCTTGTCAGATATATGAAGTTCAGTCTAATTTCACTGCTCAAATTAAGTCTTAATTTACTTTTGGGAATGACATCTGTTAATCTGAGGTGGTAACAAGTACCCAACTCTACCAACAGCAGTATTTTGGTTTTAGTGATGTGATGACATGGCAACAATATTACAGTCAAAATATATCAGGTAAAATGGCATCTAAAAGTGCTGGTGTATGTGTTTGAAGTATTTGCACTCTATCTGAACCCTTGTTTAACAGCAGCTTGTTCAGCCCATAAAGCCCTCTTCATTACTGACAACATCCATAAAAACAACTCATGTTTTACAGTTTTCTTTGATATTGCCTTGTAAGAAAGGGCTGCAGAGTAATTCCTACCAAATTCTGTATAAACAGCTTCCTGGAAACTAAAACAATTATTTGTGCAAAACCTGTATTGCTTAAAGAAGCCTGTGCCAGAGACTTACTTCTTCCTTCCTCTGACCTTGAAATTCTTAGAAGATGTATCTTATGTTCTTTGGAATGATTGAATTTACATGGGCTAAATTCTTTTTGCCATGTTCTTCTGAGTTATTCAAAGGCTAAAGCAAGAACAACCCTGCTCTGAAATCCATTTTTTTAGCTTTTAGACCTCACAGTACCTTGCTGAAAGGCAGCATTTTCTCCCCAGTTTTAGAGGGGAGGCAAATGAAGGTAAGTGACTGATCCAGCAGGGCAGGGGTGCTGCAGAGGTTCCCCCAAATCCTACTGTGTGCTCCAGGGCCCCCCATGGTCCTCGTGCAGGGTGGTGACAGGGGTTGTGTCTGACTGGTTCCCTCCTGCTTTTGGTGCTACCCCTTGCAGTTATAAACAGGAGACACAAGGTGAGGGAAAATTATAAAACAAGTTTATTAAAGTCTAACATAAAACACTTCAGGCTAAATATGTACAACTCCCTCCCTTCCCAGGGGATTATAAAATTGAGAGTTGAGGTATATACAAATAAAAGAGGAAAAATTGTATATACATGGCAGATACTTTAAAAATAATTTAACCAAAAAAATCAGTTACTAGTCCTTATCTGAACTTAGTTCTGCAAGGCTTATTGAGCCTCTCTGGGATCACAGCCCTGAAATCCTTCATGTGGGACTTGTGTGTACTTGAAAATTGTTTTGTAGCATGTGATTTCAGAAAGGTTGTCATGCTTTGTGCCTACTTGGGGCACTAATTTAGAAGTAAATGTGATACAAGGAGCTATTTATTCTCACCTAAGTACTTCCAAACAGTCAATTCAGAAATTTAGAGATGCAGATAAGCTATTCAGGAAAACTTGCACCAACTTCAGTGCAAAATTGACTGAAACAGCAGTAACAAAACATGTCATATTCTTTGTATTACTCTTCACAGAATTACTGAAATTACTTCTTTTCTTTTACAAGGACACATGCCTAAGATTCCATGCTCTCCCATATTAATCCCTTACAGAAATTACCAATACTGTTATAAGCCTTGTACTTCAAAATGAACCCAGAACCCTTAAGCCCAGAACTTACATGTGCAGCTGATTTCCATGCATCTATTGGCAAAGGGTACAGGTGTAGGTTCAGACCTACAGCCTGAACACACCTACAAATATATATATATATATTTTTATATATTTATTTATTTAAAATCTATATTCTAGTAAATGAATACAGTTGGTAGAGATCATACCTCAGCAGCTGAGATATCTTCACGAAAGATGAGACTAAAAATCAAGATTTTCAGATGGGGACTCAAGAGTGCAGGTCACTAAATTATTGCTCCAAGACAAAACTACAAGCCTGTGTATTCTATTAAGAAAGGTTAAAATTGTTGTCTTGTAAAAAATAATGAATATCTTCTTGTCTATAAAGAAAATTAAATGACTAATAAAGCAACTGTTACTGTTATAAGTATCTAAACAAATCCTGTATAAATCTAAGCACTGTATTTTTTAAAAAAGTCTGAAATCTAAGAATACAGTAATAAGCTATAATTTTAGAAATATAAAACCAGTCCAAACAAACACTGTTATGGAATGCATTTTCTATGTAGGAATGTAGTTATTGTTTAGGTTTCTCTCCAGAGCTAATCTCTCTCCTGGTCATTTATCCTGGATGTTTATCCTGAGCTGCTTTTCCTCAGGTACCAGCAGCATATCATTAATTTGTCTTCCAAAGCTGTTTAAATATGCAAGTTATCAGTTGTACAGCATTTTCTTTCTCAGTATTCATGACTAAACCTACGTCTATCCCAAGATTTCTGCTCTACTTTCAGAGAGAGACAGCAAAGAGGAAGCTTAGTACAAGCTACACACAGTCAAGATCCTGATTTTGTGGTTCTTCAGTCTTAAAAGGCTGAGGAATCCCTCAGGGGCTACACCAACAACTGAAGCTGAAAGAGACAAGAGGGGAGACAAAGGGAAACGCCAAAAATAAAATACCAGAGAACTTCATCCTTTGTCTTTTGCCAGCATTATGAACATCAGCTGCTCATAAGCACTGTGGGACAGACAAGCAGGGAAATTAAAGGCCCTGCAATAACTATCTCCTGTGGGGACAGCGTGAGAGATTCCTGCATTAGGGATGTTCCTGTTGGACATGGCTGTACTCCTGCTGGCCATGGTAGGCTTCATCAGCAAATCTACTATATATTAAAGCATAAAATGTGACCAAGCAGCAGGTTATAGATATGCCCCACACTAAAATGATCAATACAAAACAGCAGAAGGTCTATTACTTTACAAATACAAACATGGAGGAAGAGAAAAAAAAATGACAGTCACACTCAGGAGTCAAGGGACAATTTTCAGACTCTTTAAATGAAATCCTTCAAGAAATTTTTCACAAGTCTGTTTAATTAAGGTGCAGATTAATTATTACTCCATGTAGAACGGAATCAGTTCAGAGGTATCTTCTACGCTCTTCTATTTATCAGCGTCTGGACACAAGGCATCGGTGGAAATAAATGCTAGCACCAAGTAAATAACCAACAAAGGACAGCTTTAAATGCATTGTTGGTACAGTATCATGACTGTTTCATTACTGTTTGAAGATTACATAAATAATGCTTACAACTGTTAATGGCACAAACTGGAAAAACTGAGTAGAAAAGTACTTCTAACGTCACCTAGCTTTTTACGACCTTACCAAGACATTAAAATGTTGCTTTTTAAATATGTCTGTTGCTAGTATCAAAGCCTGTCTTTACCTGGGCCTTGCTAGGTACTAGTTTTGTGCAGTTACTGTGGACAAGTGACATGAGAGGTAAAGCAATACCAAAAATTCAATTAAAACAAATCAGTAAAACTCTAACAAAACCTTTCCTGAAAGAATATCAATCTGCTCTGTTGTATTATTCTTTAATACCTCCTCATGTAGTGTTCACTTATTATTTTCACAGTGAAGGGCCGGATTTATCTCCTCTTTTGTACCTCCCGTCTAGCACAAGAAGCAGCACTACAGCAAAAAAAAAAGGATTATCAAGCTCTGATTCATGCCTCACTAATTAACTCACTGCATCTTTTCGCCTCATCTACAACATGCATGTCCCAGTTCTCCTTTTGTTGCTATTTGTGCCAAACCCATGTGTTTTAAGGATGTGAAAAATAAATCTGGGACAAGATACAACAATGTTGGATTCACTTCTAGCAAACAAACAAAGGCAATTTGTTGGAAAGAAGACCCAGGAGTATCTATGTCATTAGGACCCTCCCACTCGCCACACTTCAGACAAAAATTAACCCTCCTTTATTTTTCTTGTCAGGAAAATACACCCAAACCTTTCCCTCTGGGGTCAGGCTCCACCTGAAGATGGCACTTCTGGCAGCCAGCAGCAAATCTAGGCAAACACCTCAGCAGAGCACTGACCTGCCTTCACCATGGATCATTCTAGCCCCTTGGAGTGCAGGCTTACACATCCAAATTATGATCTCTCCCTACGCCTCTGGGTTAATCTTCCTAAACTATCAACTATGGCTTAAAGTATCTGTTCTTAAATGACACTGTGACACATCAAATCAGCAGGAACATGGGAAGAGAACTCCAACGTACATTAACATATGTAACAGAGAATTCTTAAGGCAGGTGTGTTGCCAGAATTATCTCCTGGAAATCAGTGTTAATCACAAATAGAAACCTGATTGTAGATTAGCACAATCCAGCACTGCACAATGGAAATGCCTTACAGGTGTCTTTACACAGAGAAAAACAAAGAACACGTCCAATTCAGAAAGCACAACTGGTTGTTTGTGTTCATCTTACCAAACATTTCCAAGTTCACTACCAAACTACCTGGATGGCTCTGCACTGCTCTGTCAGTACAACTGCTGCAGGAAAATGAACTGAGGTTCTGAATATCCTGTCACAGCAGATCTCAGTAATGTTTCTGATGAAGGGGACTGGCTCCCTGTCACGGGGAGCAGCATCTGATGGTCTTCAGTCCCAATGGGGAGAGGAAGTGCCAAAGACATCTCAGAGGGTTTCACATCTATGGACTCTGATAAAGGACTTTTCTGGCTCTGAATGGATTCTTGTTCATTGAAAGAATTATCAAGTGCAGTTGAATCAGGAGAAGTTTCAGGTCCTGCAGAAAAAAAAAACCCAACAAAAAAAACAAGAAAGAAATGTTCAAAAGCTCATGCACAGATTCTGTGAATTCCCTTTCCAATGACTGTCAGAGACAACACCTGGTGTGTCACAGGCTGCCTGGGCAGCTGGATATTGGTGTTTCCATGTGCTGCAAAGCCAGGCCAGCTGTAAGTACAGTGTAAACACTGGGAATCACATCTGCTGCTGCTTGTAGCGTGACAACTGGAAGGATGATGGATTCCAACCTGATCTCTACTTGGCATGATACAGAAGATAAAAAACCCTTAACATCACAGTGAACAAAGTATCTTTGGAAAAAATGTAATCATGGAAGTTTCCTTGAGATTTTGCAGAAAATCTCAGAACCAGAGCCACATGCAAGCATTCTCCTTTAACTGAAACAGCAGTGTACAATGTAACATTTGTCTCTAAACTTCTTTGGAAGACAACATTTCTTAACTCCATTCCAGCTGGATACATTACATATTTTATCCAGTCACTTGAAAAATTACCTTCTATTCCTAAACTGAAACCCTTTTAGTGGGTTCCGTGATGCCTTCCTGCTGGAATGCAGCCAGCCACTGCTCCTGGATGGCTCTGTGACTAAGCCACATCAGCTATCTGACCCTTCCTCTACCAAAGCATGTTCCAAAGTCTGTTACTCCAGTGCTGAGGCACTCCTGGCTGCCTGCTGTCTCTCCACGAGACCTGGCCTGCCTTGGCAGCTCTCCCAGATCACCCCTCCAGCTCTGCAGGCTCTCTCCACACTCAGGGCTGCCCTGCCCTCAGCACTGGCTTCCTGCTGCACTGGGGCTTTCCTAAATTCCACACTGTCTCTGCACATGCATCATTTTCTCACCCTCTCTCTCCCATTCCAGATGTACACAGACACCATTTATTCCCTCTCCCATATGGCACAGGCAAGGCATTTATGGTCAATACACAAGGATGGACAGAGGACAAGGAATATGGAGCAGAGCTGAACAAAGCTGGATACAGATGTTTTTTTGCCCTAAAAACAGCTACTATCCAAAATTCCTTTGTTTCTAATTTTAGCCCTGGATGAGCAAAAATTCAGCATGGAAGGCAAGTGAGCCTAATGTGGTTTCTTAACTTTTCTTTGCACAACAAACTCA